GCACCTTATATACTGTATATATTGTTTGCATTCAGCAATTTAAAAGCAAATTTGCTATGAATTAAAACACAAAACTACTGTTTAGTATTCAGGGGTCCTTCTCGTTTTTCAAAGTTCTCTTATAAGAGGAGAGTTATTCCCAAAGATTTTTAAGTGCCAAACTTAAAAATAACAGTTGTCATTGAATTGCAAATGACTAATCTTAGCTGACTAATCTTTGATTGCATTATATGCATCAAATATGCTTTGTTGAATCTGAACTACAAAACTTTGAAAACCAAACTTCCCATCCACTCCCTCACTTTCAACGCTTCCTGCTTATGTGTAGAAATTTTAAAACAAATGCTTTTTAGGCTACATCCTCGCTCTAGAGTGGAAAATATTCCCCTGCTGAGAAAGAAGAGGAAAATGAACCTGAAAAGAAACTTTCCAACTACATTTGTTTAAAAATGATATTTTAATAACCTAAACTTGTGGGAAAGCGAAGGCAGAGAAAATTGTCTATTAATCATTTCCAAAAGCTCTTTTCCTCCTGTGCATCACTTAGATTCTGTGAAGTGTCTGCTGTATTCATGAGAGTATTATAGGCCAGCTGACTCATGATGAGGTGTGTGCATGTAGTCCTTTCTTTGTCGGCTGCTAAGAGCAATGTTGAGAGATTTTTATCCATAACTTTTCTGCTGCTGCAATTGCAGGAATCTTACCATCTGCCTTGTCAGCAAACTGAGATATTCCATCCACCCAGGCCTCACATGTTTTTGCAAAGTATTCATGTCCATACATTTCTTCCATTGGTTTCCTGACCTTTTCACTCCATTTTGAAACATCTCGGATAGCTGTGTAAAATGGCATTGAATATATTAGGCCCTCTTCAATAAACAAATAGCATTCACATAAACACTTATGTGCATTTTAAGAGCCAATGACAAATACAAATTTCACATGCTAAATTCTGTTAAAGGATTTAAAAAAAAGTTATGGAAGGGTGAAAAATACATTCATTGTACTGTCTATAGCAGAATCCTTTCTGAGTTCAAGATGCAAATACCCGTGTCACTACTGAATGCAAAGGGTGGACAAATCAAGAGATTCTGATCCTACAAGCTGTCTGCCTGCATAAGTTCAGCAAGACAGAGGGAGGACAGCTTGCAAGAAGAGGAAGTATGTACAGTCTCAGGGAGGGAAGGAAGAGTTTTTATCTGGAGTCAATGTTCAAATCATATATATTTTTATAGAAAAAAGGGGTAGGGTATAAATGCCCAGCTTTAGGACAGCTTTCTGGTTTGGCCTCTGAAGGGAAGCTGACACCTGGTTACTCATCACAGTTCAATGGCAGGAAGTCTTTACTAAGACATTCCAGCAGGCTGACATCATGGCACATTTGCTACATTCCTAGAGGAAAACCAGGATTGCCTCACTGCATGTTAGGCACAGCTGTACAAACACTCTGGAATTCTACTTTACTCACTTGTTTGCCAGGTTCAGAAATCTCGTAGCTTGCTCCACCTGTCAATAATGCAAATAAAGCATGTCCTCAAGAGTGGCACCTACCCTACTGTCTTGCACTAAAGATGCAGGGCCCCCATGCGGAGAGGGGAGGAAGGGTACATTTTACACTTCAGGGGGCCCAGCCCAAGCAGAAATCCCCATTACCATGAGCAAAAAATAGAGGCTAAATTGTAGATCATGCTTGAGGATGATTATGGACATTTATTTCCCTGTATCTACTTTCCTGATCTTGTGAGATTTGCTAGAGCCAATCAGAAGCAATGTTAGAGCAGTCTCACCTAGCATTCTGAGCAGTGAGTTCCTGGGCCTGCTGGTCCAGCCCAGGCTCTTGTCTAGAATAGAGAGTGTGAGCATGTGCAGTAGAAATGTAAAAAATGATTTAAAAAATGTAACCATGTAATTGTTAAAAAATCCTAGCAGTTACACTCATGGTGAGCTCTGCAGTATAAAGTTTTATACTGCAGAGTCTGCAGCTGAAGGTGACAGCCCTGGCTTCCCGAGAGCAGAGCCAGCAGCCCCTACTGGCCCTGCTCCTGGGAGCCAGTGCGTAACTGAAACAGAAACCAGTAAGTTAATGTTTGTTGGTTAACCATTTAAATGGTTATACGTTTACATGCCTAGTGTGCACTTAATTTAGGGCTAAGTCTATACTTAAAATATTAAAATGCTGCTGCAGTCATGCTTTAAAGAGAAAACGTGGCCATGGCACCAATGCTGAGAGGGTTGTCCCAATGCTTTTCTGTAAACCACCTAAATGAGAAGCACAGATCCCAGCGCTGGGAGCTAGTTTTCACTGGTGCTATAGTGCTGTAACTTACTGCACATGGGGGAGAAGGGTTTCATACCTCTGAGACAGAAAGTTGCACCGCAAAAAAGTGGCAGTGTAGACATGGCCTAGGACTTGTAATTTGAGACTGAAAAAAGAGAGAAATTTGTGCTCCGCTGTGACGTGGTCTGTCATATCAAGATCAAGAACTACCACTCCCACAGTTCCTTGAGCGTAAGCAGGAGGGAAATACAGCTGGTGTGAGCGGCAAGGTAAAGCACCATACGACAGTGAAAGGCAGTGGTGTTGCTACTTCTGGTAGGATTTGCAGGCCCAAAAATACATGCAAGTAAGTGTCTAATTCATTCACAGTCACCCACTCCCAGACCCCATACTACCATGTGTGATGGTGGTGATAAATACAAATCAAGCAGCCTGAAATGTAAGGAGATAAAAGAAAGGGAACTAAAAGAAGCTAACACACACCAATTTATCTTCCAGTTTTTCAAATCATACAAACCTTTCTGCAGTTAGGCAATATAACAACTAGGGAAGCAGATGAACAAAATCAAGATGAAAATAATTTCAATATAGAGACTGTGTCTGTGGCTCTGGCAGTTGATGACAAAGAAAAGCTGCCAGAACATGCATTGTGTAACTCCAATCTAATGCTTCAAGATGGTTGGTTAGTATCACCATTAGCACCACCACATTCAGAAGGTTTACATGCAGCAGCAGATAGTAGTGCTACATTATCTGATTCTTGTCTTTTCAAGGATGCAGGCTTGAGACCTGACAGCATAACAGATTCTAGCCACCATAAAATTGTTCTGTCAGGTGTCCTGACATAGAAAAAATGCAGAAGCTAGCAAAGTCAATGCCAAAAAAAGTTCATGAACATAATTTTTCTGATTTTTTCTCAAAGGTAAGACTTGCAAAATGAAAGAAACGATACCAAAAGGCTGGCTTGCATGGAGTGCTACCAACCAAGCACTGTATTGTTTTCCATATCGGCTATTTCCTAAAAGGAAGAATAAACAACACAGTATGCTGGCAAAAAATGAAGCGTATTCACTAATCGTGGAAAAAATGGCTTAAACTATATACTAAATTTCTAGAACACAAAGGGTGTATCTACTCTGCAGGGATTAACTCAAAATAAGCTATGCAAATTGAGCTACATCAATTGTGTATCTTATTTTGAAACAGCTTATTTCGAAATAGGGAGCGTCTACACAGCACTTATTTCGAAATAGACCACTCTTCCTCTGACTTCTCTTGTTCCTCGTGCAATGAGGGTTACAGGAGTCAGAGTGAAAAGTGCTCCAGCTTAACAGTTTTTGACACTATTTTGAAATAACTGCCTGCTGTGTAGATGCAGACTAAGTTATTTTGGAATAGTGCTAGTTATTTCAAAATAGTGTTGCAGTGTAGATTCTGCTTCAGTGTAGTGTCTGCTTCATAAGTATTCTACAGATCTTTCTGAGAATTTTCCTTGTGAATATTGCACCAAAAAACCCAAATCTTCAAGTCTACTTTTGGGAAAGAATATGAACTTATCTTATCGATTATCTTATTATATTACATTTATCACAAACAACTGCAACTAATTTTCTGTGAAGTTTGCATACCCCTTCAGATTTTTTGCACACTTCCAGTCCCTGCAGCAGAAACTGAAAGAAGTTTCAGCTAGGGATGTGAAGGACTAGTCGACTAGTCGCTCCCTCCCGCCCCCTTGCTGCCTCTATCAGGGAGGAGGGAGTACTTCAAAGTGGCAGCGCCGTGTGGAGTCTGGGGCCAGACTCAGGGCTCAACATAGCGCTGCCGCTTTGAATCGCTGTGTGCAGCCCAGGGCCAGCTAGGGTGTCCCCAGGCTGCACGTGGCGTTTCAAAGCGGCAGCGCTGCATGAAGCCGGGTGTCGGTGGGGGAGTCCCCAGTTGACCCTGGGCTCCAAGCAGTACTTTTGCCTTTAAAGTGTAGCCACTTCAAAGGTGGAGGTGTCCTATCGACTAATCAAATAGTCGATGCAAAATGCATTGACTATTCGATTAGTCAATTACTTGCAATTTAACGTCCCTAGTTTCAGCAAGTTAGCACTCATCAAAAACTGTAGGTGTTCTACAGTGGGGCAAGAATGGTAAGTCACCTACCTATCTTGTCTATTCAGTCTGAACTTGCAAGAGAAATTGACTTTGGGAGGGTTTTGTAATTAAAATCATTTTACAATTAAAAAGTCCAGAAAAAATGAAGCTTTAAAGTGAACTGGCCTAATCATACAATGTTTGCAGTCACATTGGTGCCTTAGAATAGAATAATAATAAAAAAAATCAAGACATCTACAAGATATAATACCTTTATAATTACCAAAATGTGACAAAATAGCCAGACAACTTGTAGGACAGGCTGGGTGTTATGTTAAACAAAAAGAGCATAAAGGAGCATTTTTCAGAAACATAGAATATGTAACAGTAATTTCAGAATTAAAATAAACTTTTTCCATTGCTCATGAGATGGAATGGGATGGGTACATGTGTGAGGGGGCTCACATTGTAAGTTTGCTCTGGGCCCTATAAAATGATTTGGGCCCTGACTAAAGCAGCAAAGACTAATGCTGTTACAACAGAAAAGGAAAGCGAACTGAAAGCTTCTGAGTCACCAAATGGCAATGACAGTTGCTAATAGTGAGCTCTTAAAATGGCTTCTGATGGCATGGGAAAGATTAAAGTATTCAGTAGGTTAGATAAATAATATGAAATACAACCTGTTTAACCAATCAGAAAGCAGTAGTGACTAAAAGATGTTGTATAATGGCTGTTAACTGGCTTGTTCTTGATACTGAACAGGTACCTTCTTCACAAAAATATTATTTGATGCTATGGTTGGCAGTCTCATTAGAGACGCAAAAAACAGAGGGCATGGAGACCAGATAGCTCTCTCCCCCACTTCACTCTTCTGATATTATAACGACAAAGAAATAAAAGGGCATTTCTGAGCTCACCGGTGACATTAGCTCTTTTGCAGCAGAGTGCCAAATGGTCATATCCTGCACCTCTTAAATCCATAGTGAAACTACAATGAAAACAATGGTGTGGAATGGAGCCCACAGATTTGATATCAGTGATGGAAGAGCCCACAAAAAAAGACAGTGAAATAGTATTTATGCAGTTGTCAAAATGGCTAAATAATCAGAACTATGTTTCATACTGGAAGAACAAGTCTTCACATTTGTACATGAATGCTTTTGTTTTGATACACCAGGGGTCGTCAACCTTTTCAAACCTGAGAGCCAAACTACATCAAAATTCAGAACAAGTGGTCAATAAGGAGCCATATAAGAATGTCCATTTGCATGACTGAAAATATACAACTTAATATTATTGATAATTGATATGATGACTAATACTAGCATAAATGAAACATTGTATTCACAGACTTTATTTATTGGGACTTTTGCTACTGCAACTTTTCACACATTTCTTTGAAGTTTGCACCATAACTGGTCAAATCCAGCTTCATGCGCACATTCAGGCTGTCTTCTGTCAATTTTATGGCAGGAGGCTGGGAATTTGGGGGTGCAGGAGTCTGGGTTGGAGTGTGATAGGGGGCTCAGAGCAGGGGGTTAGGGTGTATGATGCATTCAGGAACACAAGGTTGGAGTGTGGGAGGGTGCAGGAGTGTTATGGCAGGGGCATGAGGATGTGGGGGTGCAGGAGTCTGGGTTGAAGTGCATGAGGGGCTCAGGGCAGGGGGTTCAGGTGTATGATAGGCTTAAGGATGCAGGGGTTTGGGTGTACGATGGGCTCAGGGCACAGGGTGTTATGATGCTGTGGCAAAATAGGGACTGGGCCCCAATTGGGGGTTTGTTGGCCAGGTTTCAATTTTAAATAAAAGTAAAATATTATGTCCAACACACAAGGTTTCAACATTGTCTTTATTTATGGCAGAGGTGAGGAGCCTTTTTTAGGTCAGTGGCCACTGACCCACAGAAAAATCAGTTGGGGACCACACAAGCGAGAGGCAAAAAAAAGTCTAAAAACAAAACAACAAAAAAAACCTCCAAAACCCCTCAACCCTCGCTGATGTGGCCCCCAACTAAAACACTTCACTCCCCTGGTGCCTCAGCCCCGTGGTGGGGGGAGAGGCAGGGAGAATTGAGGTTCAAGGCCTCAGGCTAGATTTACTCTACTGGGGTTCCAGGGTTAGTGCATTTTGTGGCCCCCTCTAGGCTCTGGAGTGGGGCCAAAATGAGGGGTTAAATGTGTGGGACAGGGCTGCCAGTGAGTGGGATAAGGATGGGGGTGCAGGAACTGGGGGGGAAGGTGGGATGTAGGAGGGTGCGAGGTCTGGTTGGGAAGTAGGGTGCAGGAGCAGGCTGGGGGGAGGGTGTCTGGCCAGGGGGAAGGGTGCAGGAGCAGGCTGGGAGTGCAGGGTCTGGGCATGAGGGGCACTTACTTGTTTTCACAGCACATGCTGCTCCCAGGTGCCAGAGGTTTTCCCTGCTGCTCCAATGGGAGCAGCGGGGAAAGCTTCCAGAAAGTGCATCTGCACGCTGCTGTTTCCCCAGCCCAGGGAGGGAGAGAGGAGCAGCAATGTGCAGCTGTTTCTGGCTCCACTTCCCAGCAAGCTGGATCTGGTGTGGAGCCTCTGGCCTTTCCCCATCTCTCCCTCCACAGGAAGCCAGCGCTGGTGCTCTAATTTTGCAGGGGGGTGGGGGGTGGGGGGGGGAGGCTTGTAATGCTGGAGGGCCAGCACAGGCTCCCTGCTGAGGAGGGAGAAAAGGAGCGGGCTGAGCTCTAGCTTCAAAAGGGCCATATCTGGCTCCATAGTGATTCATATTTGGATCGCAAGCCATAGGTTGCAGACACCTGTGATACACTCTCTTCACTAGATGGTCTCTTATTACCACTATCGCAAATGATGTTCCTATATACAAAATGGCAGTAGCTTCATTAACACTAATTGTAAATGGGTATTTGACTATCAAATGAAATGTAGAACATATATGACCATGTGACCATTTTGCGTAAGGCAAACAGAGTGTGTATAGCCTTCGCTTTTCAATGTTTTTTTGTCCACCCTAAATCTTTCAAAAAAGCATAGCTATGTTTAGTATGAACAGATTTTTCTATATACCTGGAGAAATGTGCCCTTTATTCTAAGTTAAGTTTATTCTAAAGCCCTATGGACTTTGGTAACCAGAACAGCATGAAATTTGGATACAAAGCAAATTATGAATAATTTTCAATATATAGCAATGTGCAATTTCTAAAAGAAATTTTTTCTAGACATTTCTTGGGTTACTGAAATCGGCTATTTGTTCAACAAATTTTTTTTTAGAATTTTCAGCCTTAGTTTTGCTGGAAAAATTGCAGTTAGACAGAAATCAGAAATCCTTGGTGTCTTGTTAATTTGCAAAGCTTTTGTTTGTTTGTTAATAAGGCAAAGAATTTAAAGGGAATGAAAGTGGGAAAGGGAATGTGGGTAATTCATTTTTTCCTGACACAAATGAACTTTATTTATGTCATTATTTTCTGACTGTGTATTCTGACCTCAGTTGGGAAATGTTCTTGTTCATTATAGGCTAAAATATTAGATATTACACACTGTTTTAAAAGTATTGCTGTTCCTCAGGAAACGTTTTCCCTATTCTGTCTTATTGCACCTAAGGTGATTTGTGTGTGTGTTTGGGGGAAGGAGGGAGGAGTTGTCTCACAAAGATTTTGAATCTATTCCTGTATTTACCAAAATGGGGAATTTTGTGATCTGTGTTAATTGCTTTAATTGGTTATATGTCAGTAATTCTTTTAAAGGATCAATATCTTTTAAAGATAACTGAAGAGACCTTTAGTATGATATAAGAAAAGAGTAAGTTATTGGCCAATAGACATTTCTCTATTCATGCAATTAATACTCGCCATTGTAAAGCTTCAGATCCTCCTGAGTAACAACAGCATTTGCTCCCCAAACAACTAACTTGTAGATAAGGGCTGGATGTTTCGCAGCTGCTATGAGTGCTGTAATCCCACCGTCACTCCATCCCAGCAAAGAGAACTTCTTAAACTTCAGTGCCTTGATTGGTGTGAGAAAATTACAGTGAACATCACTGGCCTTCACTACTAACCAGTTGTATCTACCTGCAGTCAAATGTGTCTTAACAATTAATACCTTCAACTGGGGCCAGTCCGAGCCCTTTTGGCGCCCTGGGCCTGGGCGTGTGGCGCTGCCCCCGGGCGCATGCGCAGGCCCGCCCGTGGGGTGCGGGCCCGCCCCCCCCCGGGGTGTGCGGGCCCACCCCCGGGGCGCATGGTGCGTGCGCTGCCCAGCCCGTGCCCCTTACACCTGCCATCAGGCGCCCCCCGTGGGTTGGCGCCCTGGGCAGCTGCCCGGCTCGCCCATGCCTCCGTCCAGCCCTGCCTTCAACCAACATCTCCACAAGGGGATCCTGTCAGAACAGCTATGCCATGGTATGGCAAAGGATTAGTTGTGTAGTCAGTACCAAAGTCTGCAGAAAGCAAATAGTTCTGAGGGCTTGTTCACACAGAAAAGTTAAGTATAAGCTATGATGGGAATTTAAACTGATATATCATATAAAATCCCACTGTGGACACAATTATTCTGGAAATCCTACTCTTCATTACTAGGGCTGGTTCTTTAGCTACTATGGTAACATACTGTATTTGTGAGACTGTATGAACAATTTAATTTATGCTTCATATGTAGGCTTGGCAACATTTTATTTTGTAATCATTTCTACCATTTTTAATGTTTATCAATTTCAATTTTCAATTGTAGGAAATTATGTGGAGGTCAGACAATTATTTAATTACTGTAAATGTTGAGATTCCGAAAAAATAAATAGCCAATAAAATACAAATTGTCAATAGCTCATCTCAAAATATACAAAGCAAACAGTCTTAAATCAAATTCTAATAAGTTCTCAAACAGCATTATTCTTTGCCTCTCTGTAAATTACTATTGATAGAAATGATTTTTTCATCAGTTTCTGTAAAATGAAATCAATGTTTATTGACCTCTACTGTAGAAAAATCAAATCCTTCCAATCTTATTCATAAGTGAGATTTCAATAATCCTTTAATATATGCACTTATAAACATGCATATTTTCAAAAGCAGAATGTACATTATAGTTTTCTGTTCCCAAAAAATATCTAGTCAGTTATTCTCTTAACTTTAGCACTGATGAAATATGGATGGGATTTGGCCCTGCTTTCTACCAGGTTGACTACAAAGTATCTGATTATGTACTCCTTTTAAGGAGAGCATCTTTTTCCTCTGAGAAGCAAGTAAAATGGGAGTTCCAAGCTTTCACACTTGGAAGCCTGTCACCTGCTTATGATTAGGGATGTTATAGTTGATTAACCGATAAGCAGAAGCTTATAGATTAATGCTATAGACTGCATGCATTTCCTCCCCACCCCCATCCCCACCCTCCACCCCTTGCAAGTAATTTTTTAGCAGGCTGGCTAGCAGCCCAGCTCAGTCCCATCTTGCACTGGGTCCTGGACTACCCCCACTGCGGCTCTGCATTAAAAGTGTATTAGGAGTCAGGTGGGCAGACAGCCCGGCCCAGTTTGGACCTGTGCCGGGTCTGAGAGCTCAGACCCCTCCCCCCTAGATGGGGGTTGCCCAGGGACTATAGACTAGTTGACTAACCAATAAGAATTCATGAGGTTAATCGACTATTCAATTAAACAATATTTAACATCCCTATTTATGACAGCATTTTTGTTCTGATTGGCCAGAGCAGTACTGGATTTTTATGTTAGTCTGCATATACGTTACAGCAAGGAACAACTGGATTTCACGACTAGGGAAAAACATTTCTCATATGTTTCCTGTCAGACTAATTTTGGTTCAACTAAACTCCTCATGCATCATATTTTAGGAAGACTGCATTTTCAATTTCTCAGGGTTCTGCAAACTTGCTACCGTTAAAAGAAATAACTGGTTTCACTGTCCAAACCATGTCTGATATTTTTGGAACACGTTATATTGTCAGAATTCTTAACATGATCAGAGATATTGTATGGTTTAACATAAGGAATTCCACTCACAATTTGCCACTATAGTAGTGAATATTTTATTGTTAGGGTTTCCTTTAACATTAATTTTGCACAGTCATTATAAAAACAGAACAAAACTGCATGACATATTGTTCCCTTTATGATTCTGTAAATCAGTTTTAAAAAATGGAGGAACAATGACAGACATGAATTCTTTGTAGGAGTGTAAATTATATTCATTGTGATTTTAGGAAAACTCTGACTCCCCATTCTAACTATTTCAGAAATAGACCTTACAATGGAAATGTTTCAGTTTAGTTTGCATGATCAGATGTTAAACCTTTTCACTATGACATTTTGTAAGACTCCATCACCACTAAAGAATTCATCAGCTACAATCATTAATGGTAGCTTGTTTTACCATCTATAGCAATGTGTCTCAACGTGGTCCGCAGACCCACTGTGATAAGGCTGTTACTGGGCTGCTCTGATTTGTTTATTTATTGGCTCTGTGGCTGGAGAGCTGGTAAATAAACAAACTGGAACGGCCCAGTAGAAGCTCTCTCAGAGTGGGTCCGCATACCACTTTGAGAAACACTGATATATAGTTTAGTTTTTCTGGGCTTTATGTAGTGATAAAGTCACAAACATCCTGAGGCAAAATATTTTGGAATAAGAACATACTGCTTACTTACATAGTTAATTCCCATGGCTAAATCTTCTGTGTGATAAAAGGGAAATGGAAGAAAAAACAAACTTCATAAGCAGAACATGTCTTCATCCATGTTAAGTGCTTTGCATAATTTAATTTAATATCAGCAATTACTGTTATAAAACACATAATCCTTGATTTTGGCCCTCCCCACCAACATTAAGGAAAACAGAGTTACCATTATCTCTAAACATTATCTCAAAAGAGTGTTACCTGCATCAGATCAACAGCATCTCTTGCATCCCTTTCAAAAAAATCAGGCGGAAAGTCTCGAACTGGAGGGATAGAATGTCCATAGCCTCGAGGATCCCAGGCTACTATTGTGAACAGCTGCTTGTTCATAGATTTGAGCTGTGGTCCAAAATCACTTTGACTGCTCCCTGAAAACATTATATCTTTATATTAGGACTGTCAATCAATGGGCGTTAACGCCTGCAATGAATGCAGGGAAGAATTAATACGTTAAAAAATGAACGCACGTTAATTGCAGAGGACAGCAAACCAGCATGAGAAGTAATGCAAACTGCCACCAGAGAGCGCACGGAAAAAAGAAGCAGCGAGAAAGGAAAAAAATCCCAACTCCAAAGGAGAAGTAAACAAGAAGTAAAGAACCTCACACACATCCCTCTCCCCTCCTCAGGTGACCATATTTTTAAAAATAAAACAGCCTGGGGGGCTTGCCCAAGCTGTTGTCCCTCCTCCCCGGCAGGGGTGACCCAAGCCACCCTCTCTTTGCCTCCTGGGGCTGAGACTGATCCTCCCCCCACATCTGATTCTGGAGCTGAGTCCCCCTCCTGAACTCTGCATTGCCCATGGTGGGATCTACCCCCCAGCCTAAGGGCAGACCTCTCCCCTGAGCTTGGGGGCTGCCTCCCACCCCTGAGCCCTGTGCCGCCCGCAGCTAGGGCTGAGCTAAAAAAGGACTCTTTCGAATAGGACACAAATATATTGATTATATAGAAGAATTTATTGAATTATTCCATACATTCACACAGTTCTGCTGTGTTCTCATGATCTATAGGGATTAGGGCTGTTAATTGATGTGCGTTAATGCCTTTGAGGCAACGGGGCAGCGTTTCCAAGGGACAGCGAAACGTGGAGCTTGGTATCAGCTGCAGTCCTCAGCTGACCTTGGGCTCCACCTTGCACTGTCCCTTTGAAGTGCCGCTCCGGCGCCACAAAGGGGCAGCGCTGTACAGAGCCTGGGGTCTGCTGGTGACTCCAGCTGACCCCAGGCTCCCATGGAGCTGTCTGTTGGAAAAGCTGGGGCAGTCTTTCCAAGGGGCAGTGCTGCACGGAGCCGGGGTCAGCTAAGGACTCCAGCAGCGATGGCCATTTGAAATGCCTCTGCAATTTGAAAGTTGAGATAAATCCACAAGAACCAAGTACCTTTCTCAAACTTACTATAACTAGGAATTGAAACTAACAGAGGATCAATTGTTCATTAAAAACCTTTAGTAGTATTCTAATACATTTGAAGGAACTAATATAAAAAAGCATTCAATCTTGCCTACTGAGCAGGACTTCATCAATTAATTTAGTTGGGACACATTTCAACAAAGAAACTTAGCTAAATGGCCTGGACCATGACCACTGTTTAATCATGACAGTACAAATAAAAATGTTAATGAATGAAGATATTTTCTTCAATGGGTAAATAAGGTAATATACTCATTTTAAGAGTTTTCTGTTGCACCCATTACTGTAGGATGTAAGACCTTGATTTGGCGATATTTTTCAGACTTATATTTCCACACATTTTTAAATGAATAGGGTGCCAGGAAATCAGCTGGGCTGTAGAGTGCAGAGGATTCTGTTGGACTACAATCTCAATGAATGCAAGAGTTGAGATAGCAGTTTTGTGATCACACTTCGTAGTCCCAGTATTATACATCAAAAGAATGTAAATCCAAATTTCATCCAAAAATCGCTCTACACTTCTAGAATTTAAAAGAAGATGGTCAAATACTTTTAACACTCCTATCAGAATACTCAAATACCTGCTTTTACATTAGTACTGTAACTAGTAATTGGAGACATGACAGAACCAGTGGAAGTTTATGACAGCACATGGGCTCCAAAAAAGAATTCTATTACCTCCACAGTGTACAGCATGGTGCAATTAGCTGATGATATTAAGAGATGAGTTTTCTTCCCTTGCAACAACGTTTAATGCCACTATCGGAAGCAGAATACAGAGTAAATGGAAAAGCATTGGACTGACCTGGTATTATAAATCAGGTACTAATTTTATTGGTAGAAAGCACTATGATCCAAGTGCTTGAAACAACTAAAAAGTGGGCTGCTTTATTTTAAGGACACCTTAGGAATAGTTGAACCACTTATTAAAACAACTCCTAGGCTACGTCTACACTGGCATGATTTTCTGGAAATGCTTTTAACGGAAAAGGTTTTCCGTTAAAAGTATTTCTGGAAAAGCGCGTCTAGATTGGCACAACGTCATTTTCGCGATCAAGGCTTTTTTGCGGAAAACACTACTGTGCTGTTTACACTGGCCCTTTTCCGGAACAGTTTTCCGGAAAAAGACTTTTGCCCGAACGGAAGCAGCATAGTTTTTCCGGAAAAGCACTGATGATTTTACATTAGATCGTCAGTGCTTTTCCGGAAATTCAAGTGGCCAGTGTAGACAGCTGGCAAGTTTTTCCGGAAAAGTGGCTGACTTTCCAGAATAACTTGCCAGTGTAGACATAGCCCCAATCAATAGGCTCCTTCGGTCAATAGATTGCTTATAACTGCCTATAATAAGTTTCATGTCTCTAATATGCTATTGATCATTTAACATTTTATAAAATTGCATCAAAAAGAATTTGTCATTTTTTGCATAACATTAAAACATGCCTGTTCTAAGATATTATGTTCCAAGCTTCAGCCCAAAGAGATTTAAAACATGCAAAACAACAAAATCTGCAACTGGAGTTTTAGTGATAATAATTAAACTATACTGGTGCACATTTCAAAATAAAACTATGTATACATTTGGGATGTGAAAGGTTAATTGGTTAACTGGTAAGCTTCACCCTTAATGGGTGAGGCTTTCCAGTTCCAGTTAACTGGTAGGGACAGGCCTGGCTCTGCTTCCGGGGAGGCTTGGCTGCAGCTTCTGCCATATAAAGCTTATTTAAGCTTTGTAATGCAGAGCCTGCAGTGTGTGTAACTGCTATGATTTTTAGCGGTTACGCCGTTACATTTTTAAATGCATTTTTACATTCCTACTATACATTGCAAAAATCAATTTTGAATTCATATGTGGGCCTTTCTAGACTCCTCTTAGAACAGGATCAATATCAATAATGAACAATTTAAGAATTATTATTTCTCATACACCATTAGCTCCTTTTCTTCCTATTTTTGCCACCATTTCTCCAGAAATATGTTCCAAATTTATGTATTTAAAAAAATATTTTGTTACAAAGTATGTCAACAAAAAAAACGGTACCCCACTTTGTATATTTCAATTATCTATGGCTGTGATCTAGCAACCTACTTAAGCATATGCATAATTTTAAGCACATGGGTAGATCCAATGATTTTCTGTCAAGTGACACTAAGCAAATGAGGAGCAGCATTGTGCATCAGCTTTATGCACTTTCTGGGTTGTTTTAAGGTACAGAGTGTTGCATCATAGTGACTCAGTCTAGAGATGACAAAGGTAGCAATTATTGTGGCAAGATCAGTATCCAAAAGTAGAGGTTGCAACTGCTAGCTAGATGTTCCTGGCTACTGACACATTATGAGTCTCTGAAAACAGCTGAGAATTGAAAATACAACCAAAAGGTGAACATATACTCTTGTTCAAAAACTCAATATAATCGCTGCTATTTTTCCCCTTCAGGAGAAAAGGTCTTGTTTAAACAAGATGTTAATGCTGCCATCAGTGTGCTCATTATTATAGCTGGAACTGGAAGACACCCATACTTTTTTTTAGAGATTATCATTCTTCAGTCTGTATATACTACAGTATAAAACACAATGGACCAGACTCTACTGTTTTGCACCTTGTGTGGTCATTTGCACCTGTGTAAAGTGAACATAAGAATGGCCATATTGGGTCAGATCAAAGGTCCATCTAGCCCAGTATCCTGTCTTCCAACAGTGGCCAATGCCAGATGCTCCAGAGGGAGTGAACAGAACAGGTGATTCCTGTTAAGTGATTCCTCTCCTGTCATCCATTTCCAGCCTGTGACAGAGGCTAGGGACACTATTCCTACCCATCCTGGCTAATAGACATGGATGGTCCTACCCTCTGTGAATTTATCTAATTCTTTTTTGAATGCTGTTAAAGTCCTGGTCTTCAGAACATCCTCTGGCAAGGAGTTCCACAGGTTGACTGTGTGCTGCATGAAGAAACTTATTTTTGTTTGTTTTAAACCTGCTACCTATTCATGTCATTTGGTGACCTTTAGTTCTTATGTTATAGGAACAAGTAAATAACTTCTCCTTTTTCACACCAGTCATGATTTTATAGACCTCTATCATATCCCCGCTTAGTCTCCTCTTTTCCAAATTGAAACGTCCCAGTCTGTTTAATCTCTCTTCATATGGGACCCGTTCCAAACCCCTAATAATTTTTGTTGCCCTTTTCTGAACATTTTCAGATGCAAAGTGGACGTACAACATCACTGAATCAGAATGTTAGCGGTTTACACCCACTTTGTGCTGGTGTGAGTGATTACAGAAGGTGCAAGGCCATGGAGATTCAGACCTAGAATATTTGCATCTATAAGGTTCTGGTGTTCTAAATAAGAATAACTTTGTAAATCTGCAACTGCTTAAAATTGAGTTATCTTAACTCTATTACATCTACAAAATTCTACTTTTTACAAAAGTAATGCATAAAAACTAAAATGTTGCTGAGAAAGAGCTACAAAAAATATGAAATAGCTTTAGAAAAAACAAGAAAAAAAGTACTGATATCAAGTCCTAATATGATAGAAATTACTTACCTAACATTCCAGGAAGCAGCAGAACTGCATGATCTCCTTGTCCTGTCTGCTGATAATGCAGGTGCACTCCATTCACTTTGATTTTAGCAGACGTTATTGAAGTACTAAATGAAAAGAAAATTATTCAATAAGATAATATCTCATTACGGTGCAGTTTTTCAATGACTATGCAGTAGTTATTAATGCTAGACACTGACAGCACAGTCATATTTAAAGGGTTCTATTTGCCTTTGTGTAGGAGGTAGGTTTGGGTGTGGATATGTGTAAGAGAAAGAATCAAACACAGATTGCTTACTACAGCGTTTCCCAAACAATGGGTCACGGCCTGGTACCCGGGCCGTGGGAAAAAAATACCGGGCCTCAGCATGGCTGCCAGGAGGGGAGCAGAGCAGGGCGGGCTGGGAGGAAGTGGGGGAGGGAGGGAGAAACAGGCCACCAGGTTGGGGGCAGCGGAGCTGTCCCTCGGAGATCCGGGCAGGCGGGTGGGCAGCTGGCGAAAGCAGAGCTGGGGGCAGCGGGGCTGTCCTACGGCGATCCGGGCAAGTGCGGGGCGGAAGAAGCAGGGTTGGGGGCAGCGGGGCTGTCCCGCGGAGATCAGGGTGGGCGGCTGGCGGAAGCAGGGTTGGAGGCAGCAGCTGTCCCACGGAGATTGGGGGATTGGAGTGGGCGGCGGAACCAGGGCTGGACAGGAGCCAGGGGAGATCAGGAGGAGGAGGAGGACAGGAGAACCAGCTGCCGGAAGCAGGGCTGGATGGGGGCAGCGGGGCTGGTTGGGGGGGTCGTCGAGGGAGCGGGGCTGACTGGGGGAGATTGGTGGGGGGTGGAGGGAACCGGCCACCAGAAGCAGGGCTGGACGGGGGCAGCAGGGCTGGACTGGGGAGATCAGGAGGAGAAGGGGGGGCACAGACCTGGGCACAGGCAGACCCTGGCAGACGAATCAGTCTGGCCAGGGATCCCATTTTGTCCCCCCACCCACATACCCTCTCTCGAGTAGTTGCAAACTGCCTGGCAGGTAGACACACACAAACAGCGTGAGCACATCTACCAGCCAGGCAGTTTGCAGCTAGGGATTGGTGCACCTAATTATAATAAAACTTACGTAATTAGAAAATACCAGGCATTTTATATGTCTGGTAATTTCTCAATTTCTTTCGCAGACAAAACCTTCAAATACCGGACTGTTGGGTACAAATCTGGACACCTGGCAACCCTACCCTTCCTTGCACCCTCCCTCCTAGCCAGATACCCTACCCACAATCTGCTCCTGCTCCCGCCTCCTGGAGTGCTCATGTGGCACTGGGTCCCCCAAGCCCTGGCCCAGACTGCGTAGAGGATGAAGCCGGGTGAAACACTGAAAATTTATTCATTTTTCATTCTTTTTTTAAATATGTGTTTATATTTTGGGGCTGCAAAAAACAGTACTGAAAAAAAATGCGTTCCAACTATAGTAAAAAGTTTGGGAAACCCTGATCTAGCCAGCTTTCTATCCATCTTACAGTCCATTTATCCAATCCATATTCCCTTAACTTGCTGGCAAGAGTATTGTGGGTGACTGTATCAAAAGCTTTGCTAACACTGGCACTGGGGGCTTTGGGAGGACCAGAAACAACTTATTTGAATAGTCATCATTTGCTTAATGAATATGCAAATATGCAAATGAATGTTACTGGTCCTCCAAAAGCTCGTGAATGGATTTACTGGTCCCCGTGTCAAAAAGTTTGGGAACCCCTGGCTTACTGGAAAATAGAGGAAACTATATGGGAAGTCAGGCATGTGACATTTTTACTTCATATTATGCAGTTCTGCAAAATGTCTCTTAAAATAAGTTGTATTTTTTGGAATAAAAGGAAATTTTGCAAACCTGCATCACATTATAAAACAGGACACCTCTTTCTAAACACCTTCCTCCTTCCCAATATATAACCCTCAGAAATTACACTTGCTACCCTCCCAAGCATAGAGGATGACAGGACACATTGCTTGGCATAGGAGCCAGTACTCTGTGGGAAGACAGAACATTGGGAGCTCCAAAAAAGAAAAGAGGTAAGTGCTAAATTTTGAATGACCTTCTTAGCTTGGCTATTGGAGGTGTGCAGCATGTTACTAACTTACTAGAATTCTGTTAAAATCCTTGGTATATCACTTTTCAGCATTTTGTTCTGCACAGTACACAAATGAAGTGACAGAGTAAGAATAAAAGCAGAAAAATGGTTAGTTCTAGTTTATAAGATGGACTGCACATCCACAAAGGGAAGCAAATGGGGAATAAATCACTTCCCTTGCTGTCTTGAGCAGACTACTTGGCTGTGTCTACATTGGCAAGATTTTGCACAAAAGCAGTTGCTTTTGTGCAAAATCTTGTCCTGTCTACACTGGCCGCGAGAATTTGCACAAGAACACTGATGTTCTACTGTACGAAATCAGTGTTTCTTGCGCAAATACTCTGACACTCCTGCTCAGGGATAAGTCCTCTTGCACAAGAACACTTGTGCAAGAGGCCAGTGTAGACAGGTAACATCAATTTCTTGCGCAAGAAAGCCCGATGGCTAAAATCTTGCGCAAGAGAGCATCTACACTGGCACGGATGCTTTTGCACAAAAGATTTTAGGGATAGGAATATGCTGTCTCCCCTAAGTGCAAAGAGGTAACACTTCCTCTTGTATAGTTCCAATGTAGTCTTTGCTGCTCGCATTTTTTTAAATTACTTTGTTGTAAGCATGTTTAATGGTGGTAGCTTTGAAATGTTTACATTTTATACTGATGGTAGCGCAATAATAGGAGATTTTAAAAAAAAATCAGTGTAACTACAGCCTTAAGTGCCTACACAAGTAAAAATAAAACAAAAATGTTAAAAGGAAATGTCATGGTATTAAGGAGCTGCTTCCAACTGGCAGCTGCTGTTGAAACTCATTCTCTGCTGTTACATATCAGAATGTGGTTTATGGTTACATTATGTATGATCCACAAATTGTGTAATGAAAAAACCTGCAACTGGGAATGAAGGAGGAAAATCTCATCATACAATGCACTTTAATATAATCTCAGCAGAGGATATTGTTCATTTAGAAAATGCATTACTATGTAAAATGTTCCAACAGGAAGAAGTAGCACTACAAGATTATGAAAGTCAGTCACAAGCATAGGAAAATTAACAGTACAGACAAAGTCTAAAACATGAAAAGATGTGTATTTGCATAGTTTGGAATTCTGATACCATCATCAGTTAATTCTTAGAGAGAACATAGCTACATTTTAGAGACTGTTGGGTCTCTGCTAACCCATTACATATTTGTGGGAATATAAATTAATTTAAACCGTAATATATATATGTTACTATTTGGAATATTAGTTGGCTTTAGGCACTAAATGTTTCACAAGTGTAATCTGTGAACGAGAACATGGTGCACTGAAAGTGATTATTTTTTAGTATCTTTGAACTGACTTTTGAAGCCAGTCCGTTTCAAGTGGCCAAAGCACACAAAGGAGGTATTAGCACATTTTAAGTCATAACCTCTTTTTCTGCTCTGAATAGCAAAAACCTTGTTGAATATTGAGGGAATGGAGTACAAAACCATTTCCCATTGAAGAGTCAAGAAGATAACTAGATTACTTTTACTTTTGTGTAAACTTGTATTCTGGCAGCATAAGAACTCAAATATGCAAGTGTGGGAGCTTTCTTTTATTCTGCTCTCTGTAGGATCTCATCACTGTAGTACCTGAGCATCTTACAGTAGTGCATTAAGTGGCATGAGTTACATCAGGCTGTTTTCTTTCCATCTCCCACCCTCTTCTCAAGGTCAGAATTGTGTGTGCAGATGGTAGCTTTTCTTTTTCTTAGTATGCTCATTATATGTTGTGTTTGGAGAAAGCAAGATAAAAAAAAATGCATCTTGCACTTGGCATGTAAGATGATGATTGTTCCGGTGGTCCTTCCACAACATAAGACCAAGCACATATTAGCCTTACCTTTCCAAGTTATATCTTCACTGCAGAAAAAAGTGTGTTTTTACATTGAAAGAGCTAACTCAGATAAGCTATGTCAATGACAATTCTAGCAGAGACAAAGCAAAGAGGTAGTCTTTTATTATCTGAACTAGCTACATCAAGGTAACACCTACCTGTGCTGTGTGTCTACTAGGATTGTACATCCAGAAAGCTACTTCAAGTTAGCCAGTACAATGTCAAATTGTAGTGAAGACACAGCCCTACTCTTCACCCTACTACACTCAGTCCTGACCAGTCAAGGGAGCACCTGCCAGTGTCAAAAGTTCTGTTTTTAGAAAAGCATTCAAGCATGAGCGTAAGCCTATCCCTATTCAGGAAAGCACTTATAAGCCCCATTGAGTTTAAGGACTTAAATATTTGTTTAAGCACTTTTTTGAATAATGTGAGTGTCAACCAGAGCTTCTGAGCCCTCTTTCCTCCTATGGGTAATTTCCTGTTCCAGGACAAAGGAACAGTCACTTCAAACTATAAGGACAGCTTCCTCAGTGACATATCCTCCTCCTTGCTTTTTCTCCATGAGCTTCCTAGTGTTCCATAAGATTTACCTAATTTTACATCTATTAGTTAACATGTGTAAAGTTGGAATTCTATGTTATGGTATGACAGCACCAGCACATAGGAGTATTTGGATTCAAAGACAGACTGCCAACAATCCCACAAAAAGTTTGTGCTTTAACCTGGTATTAATACTGCGTACTGGAGGGTGAAGAGAGGGAACAAGCCATTTGCGAAGAGAGGGGGATGAGAGACTGAGATATTTATTCATTTTTTCATTTCAGCAAAAATGCTTTTTCTAAGCCATAATGAAAGAGGGAAATAACACCATTGAGCAAACAAACCTCTATTAGCATATTTGCACTTTGTTATTTAAATAGGATACTACGTATATTTACAACATAACATCGTTGTAAACTCTGAGGTGGACCTGAGGGTATCTTTCATCAGGAAACATTTTTTGCCATTTGGTGTAATTTGGGGGAAGATTCCAAAAGCCAATTCCCTTCAAATAATCTGTTTTTTCAGAGGTATTTTATGATCCTCAAAGATGTATTTGACAATGCTTCTAACAATTTCCATAAAATGATAAATACCATCAAAAAGCAAGAATATAATCTCAACCATTCCTTCAACTAGTTACATTTTAATAAAGGGCAATTTTAACACAGCCTTGAGGATAGTTAAGGAAGCACTTTAGAGACAGTGATATAGATAATAACCTAAGTAAGAATAGCTGACTGAAGTGAGAAAGTATTATAATTCCATATTCTATCAATTGTGAAATTGTCAATGGATAAAATTAAAATGGATTGGAAGAACAGTGATGGCAACTGGAAGTTTACATTTTAAAAGTCTTTGGTTTTTTTTGGCAGTAAGTCATATCTTGCACAAGAGGATAAAAGACCAATTCAGTTTAATATTCACCTTTTAACTGCACCAAATATGAAACACTGGTGAAAAAAATGTTTTTCTACACTTTGTTTTCATTGCAGAATGTTGTATTTTGATGTTGTTCGTGATCTTTAACTACAGTGCTATTCTAGGGCTGGAGTGGGCAAGAATTTTTAAAAGGGGCCTTGGGTGGAAGGGATGTGGCCAGGAGACTTCTTGTGCCCCCACCCTGATTGGCCTGGGATGGGGGAGCGTGAGAAGTCTTCTGCCTCCCTCCCCCGCCCCACCCCCTAGAGAGAAATGCCAGCTGTTTTAAAACAGCTGACATTCCCTCTAGGTGCCTAGCAGAAAGAGAACTCTAACGCTCTCTGTGCCCCCAGGCCAATTAGGGCCCGGAGGCAGGGGAGCACATGAAGTGTCCTCGCCCCTGCAAGAGTGTGTGGTGGCTAGAGACACACTCTGGCTGTTTTAAAACAGCCGGCATGTCTCTCTAGCCCACGGGTGGGCAAAGGGCCCTCTGCGGGTTGGATCCGTCCTGCCAAGCCGGTGAATCCAGCCCGTGGCTGCCCTGCCACTCCCCCAGCCCCAGGCCAATCAGGGCCCGGGGGTGAAAGAACGTGTGAAGTCTCCTTGCCCTCGCAAGAGTGTGCGGCGACTAGAGACAGTGCACTGTTTTAAAACAGCTGGAGTGTCTCTCTATCCGCTGCACACCCCTGGGAGAGTGGGAACAGGACGCGAGAGACTTCATGCGCTCTCCGCCCCCAGGCCCCGACTGGCCTGGGGGTGGGAAGCGCACAAAGCTCCCCTCCCCCAATAGTGCACAGCAGCTAGAGATAAACACGACTGTTTTAAAACATCCAGTGTGTTTCTCTAGCCACCACGCATTCTTGCGGGGACAGGGAGACTTGGTGCGCTCCCCCGCCCCCAGGCCCTGCTTGGCCTGCAGGTGGGGAAGCAGCAGGGTGGCCACAGGCCAAATCTTTGGTTTGGCAGGCCAAATCTGGCCCGCAGAGGGCCCTTTTCCCATCCTTGTTCTAGGGTTTCACTATATATTTCTTATCTTTTTGCACAGCTATGTATTAGGCACTTACATCATGCAAAAACACACACAGGCGTTCGTATTTTATCTTTAGGGTTGCCACATGGTTTCAACAAAAATAACGGACACACTTGATATTACATCACAATCTTCATTACATCTTATTTAGAAAATACCGGATATTTATATTTTCTCAATTTGTTTCCTGAACAGAAAGCTCAAATACTGGACTGTCCGGTTAAAAATTGGACACCTGGCAACCCTATTTATCTTCCAATTACTTTATATCCTAATAGTTGCAGTTGTCTTCTAACTTACCTCACTGTAAAAAACAAACAACACATATTGACTCCTTATTCTTTGGATACTTCATTGTATTACTTTACCTGTCTTAAATATGGTGGATGAAATATTTATCCAATTAAAATCAATGGGAATTTTATTTGTTTT